AATGTATTTGTCACTTGGGAAGTAGTTTATTATTGTATTGAATACATTTCAGTCATTTAGCATCTTAATTTAAAGGCATTTATATAGCCTTTTAAAAATCAAACCTTTTGAGATAATCATGATTCATACGCAGTTACAAGAAATACTAGAAGCCCAGGTGTGGCGGCTCATACCTGTAGCACCAGCTACTTGGGGAGGCTGAGGCAGGAGAAGCAGCAGCTACTTGGGGAGGCTGAGGCAGGAGAAGCACCAGCTACTTGGGGAGGCTGAGGCAGGAGAAGCGCCAGCTACTTGGGGAGGCTGAGGCAGGAGAAGCAGCAGCTACTTGGGGAGGCTGAGGCAGGAGAAGCGCTTGAGCCGGAGAGTTTGGGTTCAGCCTGGGCCGCACAGTGAAACCCTGTAAAACAGCAGAAAAAGAAGCAATAGAGATACACTGCATGCCTTTTGCTCACTCCCCCAGTGATTAACATCTTGCAGAACTATAGTACATTGTCAGCGAGGATATTGACATTGCAACAGGGTCCAGCACGCTTTTACCACCACAGAGATCCCTCTCGTTGTCTTTTTATAGCCACACCTTCTTCTCTGCACCTCGAATTCTTCCTTAAGCCCAGCGACCACTGTCAGTTCTCCATTTCCGGAACTTTGTCTTTTAAGAATCTTGTATAAAAGGAATCCTACAGCACGTAACTGCTTGGGATTCACTTTTCTCATTTATCATCTGCTGAGGGCCATCCGGGTTGTCCTGAGGATTAGCAGTCTGTTCTTTCCTTTTTTTTTTCCTTTTTTTTTTTTTTTGAGAGGGAGTTTTGCTCTTGTTGCCCAGGCTGGAGTGCAGCGGCACAATCTCGGCTCACTGCAACCTCCACTTCCTGGGTTCAAGCAGTTCTCTTCCCTCAGCCTCCCAAGTAGCTAGGATTGTAGACATGCACTACCACAGCCAGCTAATGTTGTCTATTTAGTAGAGACGGGATTTCTCCATGTTGCTCAGGCTGCTCTTGAACTCCTGACCTCAGGTGGTCTGCCCGACTCGGCCTCCCAAAGTGCTGGGATTACAGGCATGAGCCACCGCACTGAGCCAGTCTGTTCCTTTTTATTGGTGGATAGTTTTACCTGGAACGGATGTTCCACAGTTTAGTTAACCAATTACCCGTTGAAGGACACAGGGGTCATTTCCAGTTTGTGGCTACTTTGATTAAAGCGTCCATAAACATTTGTGTATAGGTTTTTCTGTGAACATGAGTTTCATTTGTTTGGATAAGTGCCCAGGAGTACAATTGCTGGATGATGCCGTGGTTGCATGTTGAGTTTTATAGAGAACTGCCAAACAGTTTTCCGAAGCGGCCGTATCTTTTCATGTTCCCATCAGGAACGTATGAGTGATCTAGTTTCCCCCAACCGGCATTTGATGTTGTCTCTATTTTTTATTTTAGCCGTTCTGATTGTTGTGTGATGATAGCTCATTGTGCTTTGAATTCTCATTTCCCTAACAGCTAACGATTTCAAACATATTTTCATATGTTTGTTGGCCATTCATATATCCTCTTCAGTGAAATGTCTCTTTGTGTCTTTTACCCATTTTCTAATTGAATTATTTGGTCTCTTGCTGTTGTGTTTCAAGGGTTCTTTGCATATTCTAGATATCAGTCCCTCACCAGGTGTGTGGTTTGGAGTTGTTTTCTCTCATTCTGTAGCTTTTCTCTGCAGCTTCTTAACAGGGTCTTTGGCAAAGCAAACATTTGAAATTTTCGTCATGTTTTTGGTGTCAGGTCTTCGAACTCTGCCTGGTCCTAGATCCCACAGACTTTTTCCTCATATATTTTTTATCTTAAAGTTTTATAGATTATATTTTAATCCATAGTCCATTTCGAGTTAATTTTTGTTTAAGATACGAGATTAGGTCAAGGTTTTGTTTGTTTGTTTTTTGGCTCGTAGATGTCCACTTACCCAGTGCCAAATGGTGCAAGGCCCTCTACTCTATTAAATTGCTTTTGTACCTTTGCCAAAGATTGCTTGGGCATATGGGCTTATTCATACGGACCTATTTTTGGATTCTCTGTTCTGTTCACTTGATCTGTGTCCCTCTGTCAGTACTGCACTGTCTCAATTACTGTAGTTGTATAAAAAGATTTGAAGCCTATGCAGTGGCTCATGCCTGTAATCCCAGCACATTGGGAGGCCAGGGCGGGAGGATCACTTGAGGTCAGGAGTTCAAGACCAGCCTGGCCAACATGATGAAACGCCGTCTCTACTAAAAATACTAAAATTAGCTGGGCATGCTGGTGCACGCCTGGGATCCCAGCTACTTGGGAGGGTGAGGCAAGAGAATCCAGGAGACAGAGGTTTCAGTGAGCTGAGGTCATGCCATTATACTCCAGCCTGGGCGACATTTCAAAAAAAAAAGCCTTGAAATGGAGTAGACTGGTTAGTTCTGTATTCTTTTTTTGAAAATGCTTTAGCTTTTGTAGTTCCTTTGTCTTTCCATATAAATTTTAGGGTAATATTGTCTATATAGAAAAGTTGGCTGGGATTTTGGTAGGATTTGCATTAAACATGTGTATGAATTTGGGGGAAATTGATGTCTTTACTATATGGAGCCTTCCAATCCGTGGACACAGTGTGTCTTCTCATTTATTTAGATTTCCTTTGATTTCTTTCATCTGAATTGTTTAGTTTTTTATTTCCAAGTCCTATACGTGTTTTGTTAGATTTACAACGAAGCATTGTCTTCTATTGAACAATTGTAAATGGCACTGTATTTTTAATTTCAGTGTCCATGTGTTCATGTGTTGGGGTTCAGGGATTCAGGGTGCCCTCAGCTCCCCTGAGAGGACGTTTCTCCAGGTTCCTGGTCTCCCGCACTCTCAAGAATGAGAGAGGGGACCACGGCGCAGTGCGCAGTAAATGCCGGACTCAAAAGTGTTTGCAGAAAGTGATTTATTGAAAGAGAGAGAGAAACAGGAGAAGGAACGGCTAACTCTCACACTGAGCGAGAGAATCCGGAAAGATGGAATCCAGGAGAGGAAAGCAGCTTCCACACTGAGCGGAAGGGAACAGAGAGAGATGGAGTTTAGGAGGGGAAGACAGGCTTCCCCGAGAGTGTGGAAGGGGACCCCAGAGGGGAAATCCAGGAGAGAGGAAGACGGCTTCCACGTAGGGAGTGTTTGTGGAAGGAGACCCAAACGTGGAGTCCGAAGGGGTGTGGAAGAAGGGGACTTTTAACCTGGGAGGAATCCCCCGACCTTCTCTAAGACCCCGGGCCAATGAAAAGTCTTCTGCTGGAGTGATGGACTTAGTTTCTTCCCACCCCTGCGAAATTTAAACATAAACAGTTAAATCTGATGCAGAGAGATGGGAGTGGGGCGTGGCGCTGGGAAGTTCTTGCCCTTAAAACTATGCCCCCTTGTGGACCTGGAAAGAGAACACATTCCCTCGTGTGTTCATTGCTTGTACGTAGAAATATAGTTGATTTTCATATGCTCATCTTGTGTACTACAACCTTGCTGAATTCACTAGTTGTATGAGTTTTACCTTTTATTTAAAGTCCCAAATCTTTAACACTTTCTATGTGCCAGACATTATGCTGAAGTAAGACATTTCTTGTAGTTGTCCAAGCCAGTAAGTGGTGGAACTGGGATCTTGATACATAAATCATTTATCTACTGCATTAGTTCATTTCACAAATTCTTTAGCAGAGCTTATTTGAACCACAATGAATCTAGACACAAGGTCCCGCCCTTCTGAGCCCACAGCCTGAAACTAGTAGAATTAATACAAGTGATGATGTAGCTATGATAGATTCAAACTAAATGAATTAATTGATTACAACTTAATGCATTTACTAGTTCATTCTGTAAGTGGGTGAGGCAAGGAAGGGCACCTTAGCCAGTCTGGAGTTGGGTGAGGTGCCCAGGGAGGGCTTCCTAAAGAAACATTGTTGCAGGGCCTCATGGCCCACACCTGCAATCCTAGTGCTTTGGGAGGCCAGGACAGGAGGATCACTTGAGCCCAGCAGTTTGAGAGCAGCCTGGGCAACACAGCGACACCCTGCCTATTAAAAAAGAGAGAAGAAAGAAAGGAAAGAAGGAGAAGGAACCCATGCTAATTCTCCCAAGCCTGATTCTTATCAACTCACATCAGTTTTTGACATTCAGAGATGTCTGTGATAAAAGTTCATATGATGAGAATTCTAAATGTTGCTTGTCAAAGAACCCAAGAACTCCTGGACAAAGTTGAATGCAGCTCTCCGCTGGTCTCTGCATCTTCCTCACCTCCTTCACTTGCTGCTGTCTCAGCCCTGCCCCTTCCACCTGGCCCCTGGCCCCCGGACTCTGGCCTCTCTGAGTGAGCAGCACAGTCCCGTCTAAGTCGACCTGTCTGCCTGCCGGCTGCTGCTGGGTGCTGCTGGGTGCTGCTGGGTGCTGCCGGCTGCTGCTGGGTGCTGCTGGCACTGGTCCCCCTGAACATTCTCCATGCCTTCCTTTCCATGGCACCAGTTTCTGCCTCTCCTTTGGGTTTTTTTCCCTTTTCCTTCTCGCATGCTGGGTTTTGGAGTCATTTGAGATGGCAGGTGGGCCATTCGAGTAGCTGTAGGGTCAGGCTCCCTTTCTGCCAGTTCATTTGGGAAAAATCTTCCATGTCACTAAGCTCTTGTAACAGTAGCTACAAAAGTTGCTTGTTTGTTGGGAACTGAAATCTGCCAGTATAGAGATTTGCCCTCAGATGGATTTCCAGGTAAAGACAGACCCCCGTTCCCATCGAGCAGAGACGGAGTGGCCCCTCCTGGCACTGCTGTGTCCACTGATGGCATGCAGCATTCAGGGCTACTCTGTCAGGTGGCATAGCTCTCCCTTTGCATGGGAGTGGGTGTCCCACAGCCAGCACTGTCCCTGCCTGTGCCTTCCCTCCCAGCCCTGTGGCTGTGTGCTGAGTGCACCAGCCCCTCTTCTACCTTTGGACTGAGGAGGCGTGTTCCTCTTCCCATGTCTCCCTGACTGTAGGAGAGATCTCTCATCTTTGAGTCGGCATGGAAGAAGGAGAAGGACATCGTTTCCAAGGAGATAGAGAAGCTCCGCATGTCCATCCAGACCCTGTGCAAGAGCGCACTTCCCCTGGGAAAGATCATGGACTATATCCAGGAAGACGTGGATGCCATGCAGAATGAGCTGCAGCTGTGGCACACTGAGAACAGGCAGCACGCTGAGGCCCTGCAGCAGGAGCAGAGGTGGGGGGAGTATTGGAGGGGGGTAGTCATGGGGAGGGGGACTGTAGCAGGAGCAGAGGTGGGGGGAGTATTGGAGGGGGGTAGTCATGGGGAGGGGGACTGTAGCAGGAGCAGAGGTGTTGGGGGGTATTGGAGGGAGGTAGGAATGGGGAGGGAGCCCTGCAGCAGGAGCAGAGGTCGGGGGGTTACAGAGCAGGGGAGTAATGGGGAGGAGGCCCTGCAGCAGGAGCAGAGGTGGGGGGTAGCAGAGGGGGGTAGTCATGGGGAGGGGCTCCTGCAGCAGGAGCAGAGGTGGGGGGATCACAGAGGGGGAGAGTAATGGGGAGGGGGCCTGCAGCAGGAGATTTGGGCAGTAGCAGAGTGGGGTCCCCAAAGTGGATGGTGACTTTGCTGCATACGTCCTTGTCCCAGAGGCTGTTCTGTATATAATTTAAGGACTTCAAGCTTATCATTGAAGAAATACTAACTGATGCTTTTCTAAATCTCATGTTTGACTTCACTTTTGGTTGTGGCAGGCGTCTTGGAAATAAGAAATACATTTTATCCTTTTCTTTGGATGAAAGGAATAATTCACTCTTGTTGTCTTTCAATGTCTGAACTAAGAAGCCAGCACACGCTGAGCTGAGTGACCAGCCGCTGGTTTTGTTCCCCCTCAGTATCACAGACTGTGCTGTGGAGCCCTTAAAGGCCGAGCTGGCGGAGCTGGAGCAGATGATCAAGGACCAGCAGGACAAGATCTGCGCCGTGAAGGCCAACATCCTCAGGAATGAGGAAAAAATCCAGAAAATGGTGTATAGTATCAATTCGACCTCGCGAAGGTGAACACTCAAGTCACCCCAGTTTAAAAGCAAAAAGGAAGACAGAAAATCGTTACTCTAAGTTCCAGTTTGCTAAGAAAATGAACAGTTTACAATGTTATTATCCAACTAATTTTCAGAGCTTCAAAACTGTAAGCATGTTAAGTGTATTAAAAAAACCCATGTTTTCTTACCTCCTTCCAGATGAAATACTGGCTAGTTATAAATAGCGCTTCCAAACACCTCTGAAAAGTTTTTCTGAAAGCCTGTTCTTTGTGTTTCTGCCGCATCCTGTTTAGCCTGTACCAGAACTCTCGAGCAGGTAAGTGGTGTTGGCATACCAAGGGAACAGCGGCCCTTTATTTTGGTTTAGTAAAAAGACTTTCAGAGGTCACTGCCGAATGAAGGCTGACTGTATACTTTGCGATAGGCACTTTATAAGTAGAATGAGGCCTGAAAATGAATACATTATATTTTTAGTTAATTTCCATTTGAAAGGGCTAATCTCAGACTGTCTCCATGTAAGGTAGGAATCAACTGGGTTGCTTTTGTTTTTTGACCTTTTTGTAATTGCATGTACTACTTCTCTATGTGATTTTCTTCTTGATCTCTATTATCTTTTGCTTGTGTTTCTACTCCTTAAAGTTCATAAATTTACAAAGGAGATTTCAGTGTGGCCGTTATGGACATTATCTGGAAATTGTCATGGACCACATCCTTGCTTTCTTCAGCATTGTACCCAGGTGGTCCTTGAACAGTCCAGCACAGCTCCTCGGAGTCCTTGTCCTCCTTAAGAGGGGCTTGCTCTGCGAGGCATTGGCACAGGCGTCCCCAAACTGCGGCCCCCTGAGGCCATTTATCCGGCCCCCCGCCGCACTTCAGGAAGGGGCACCTCTTTCATTGGTGGTCAGTGAGAGAAGCACAGTATGTGGCGGCCCTCCAATGGTCTGAGGGACAGTGAACTGGCCCCCTGTGTAAAAAGTTTGGGGACGCCTGCTTTGGCATCATGCCTTTTCCTCTGCATATGTGCACGCCCAAGAAATGGGAGCTTAGAAAAACTACATAAGGAAGACGTGAAAGTATGCACTGATTTACAACATTTTTTTGATGTTAGCCATTTTTTTTGGAAATTGTTTTTTAAATCAAAGGTTTTTTTTTAAAAAAAACATGGTTTATAGTTTTTCACTTACAGATATTATTGTAAATACTCAGCAGTCTTAAGTTATTGTATGAAGACATACTTACAGATCTTGAGGTCTGGATCCTAATACTTTTATTTCTTGATAGTGTGTTTATTATGTAAACTAAGGAGTGCCATTTAAATTGTCAGAATTGCTTGGTTTTGTTTATTTTTTATTGAGACAGAGTCTCATTCTGTTGCCCAGGCTGGAGTACAGTGGCACCATCGCAGTTCACTGCAACCACCGCCTCCCGGGTTCAAGCAATTCTCCTGCCTCAGCCTCTTGAGTAGGTGGGACTACAGGCGCACGCCACCAGGCTAATTTTTGTATTTTTAGTAGAGATGGGGTTTCACCGTGTTGGCCGGGATGGTCTCAACTTCCTGACCTTGTGATCCACCCACCTCGGCCTCCCAAAGTTCTGGGATTACAGGCGTGAACCACTGCGCCTGGCCAGGCTTTGTTTCTTTAAGGATTAGCACAAATGGCACAGTTTGGTTTTTCTTCGTACAGTTTCATTTTTCCAAAATGAATTCCGTACTGAGGTAGTTTTGTGATTTTCTGAGCTGAGTGAGTTCAGGAGCAGATTATTAAGATCTGCCATTCTGAAATATTGGTTTTCTTCTCCTTCCTACGGTGCACCATAAAATTCTGTTTGATCAGATTATATTAAATACATTTTGGGGGAGCGGAGGGACATTAGTTAAGTAGTCCTTCGTGTATTTATAATCTCTTTTCTACTGAATCAAATGACTTAGCCGTGAGCCTGAATGGCCCCTGCCTCACTTCAAGTTAAGATGTCCGCCTTTTATGAATTTGTATATATAAATAGAATTTGGGGATTGCAAAAAAATTGCATACATTGTATGTAAGTAAATTTTTTTATGAAGTAGTCTGTCAAATTGTATCATAAAGTTTATTTTTCTTTTATACGTAAATCATTAAAAAAATCACATATTTTTTCCATAAGTGTATGGATTGTGCAGTTCAATTCACACATGGAAAAATCATAAGCATTTGGATTTTTTATTTACAAATGTGTGCACTTGGTTTTTCTTGTGAGGAAAGTGCAGGGAAATAGACTTCATTCATACTGTGACACTTTATCTCTTTTTAGTAGGAATTGAAGTCTTACAAGACAGGTAAGCATTTGGCAGAGATTGTAAGATCATTTGTGAAGTTTTAGAAGGTCTCTACATGTGATTGTTACTGAATCTTATTGTAGACATTAGATCCTGATCTTATTTAATTTGAGAAATTTAATTTTTCTCTTATTTTGAGAAAATACACAAATGGGATTATTTTTCTATACGTTGGTTTATAAGTTTTCAGGAAGTACTGGAGTCATACTTCAGGAATTTGAATTTAAAAGTTGAACTGATGGTAATTTATATTCAAAGGAAATGCATAATAAACCTTTGGAAGAAACAGTTCAAGACTAAAATGCAGCTTTCTACTTTTATATTCATCCTTCTTTTTCTTTTTAATAATCAACTTTAAAAAACTGAAATCTATCAAGCAAAATGCTGTCATTTGGTGACAGAAAGTGCTACTTAGGATTTGGGCGATGTGGAATTGTGTTCAGTGTATTGACAAGTGCCCCTGAACTATTCCGGCACTGCTCTTCTGATCTGCCCTGGACTGAAGGGTATATCTTCTGTTGGTCGATGTGCCCCGTGTCGTGGCACATGAATAAGAGAAAAAATGGCCAGGGTCTTTTACCAGCTTTTGGATCAGTAGCCAGTGCGGGAGGCAGCAGCAAGCAGGACCAGCAGCCTGTTTGGGCTTCCGTAGGAGTCTGCTTCAGAAGGAGGCCGCGCCCAAGCAGGATCCCGGCTCGGCATGTCACCATTGGAAGGCGCTAAGCACCCAGGCCTGGACTTGGCTCCCTGCTCTGGGCTCTTCTTTCCACACCCAAAAGTGCAGAGAGTAACCTTGTTCATGGCACCTCTAGGGAGACCACTGTGGGCTCTTCTGAGGGGCTCCCCGGCACAGACGAATGTAGCAAAGCAGAAGTGAGAAATGTTAAGTCAAGCGTGAGCCTAAGTCGGAGGGGAAGGAACAGCTGTTCTCAGCTATCGCAAATGCAACTGCTTGCGGCATTTGGGCTCCGAGTCTAATTCTAGGCTATGAGACACTACTAATAAAAACGCTATTTTTCTAAAAGGTGTTTGGGTAAGTGTGGTTTATGCAAGCTTTACATTGGGGCATTAGTGAAACTCCCTGAAAAGAACCCCTTTTGCTTATTATGTGTATTTTCATAAAGGGAGATTGAGAGGGACTTTGGTTTCTTTTAAATTCAGCAAGAGCAAAGAAATTTAAATGGCTTTTAAAGCTATGAAACTTGGTGGGGTGTGGTGGCCCATGCCCGTAATCCCAGCACTTTGGGAAGCCAAGGCAGGCAGATCACCTGAGATCAGGAGTTCAAGACCAGCCTGGTCAACATGGTGAAACCCCCGTCTCTGCTAAAAATACAAAAAAATTAGCCGGGTATGGTGACACATGCCTGTAATTTCAGCTACTTGGGAGGCTGAGGCAGGAGAATCACTTGAACCATGGAGGTAGAGGTTGCAGTCAGCTGAGACTGTGCCACTGCACTCCAGCCTGGGTGAAAGAGTGAGACTCTGTCTCAAAAAAAAAAAAAAAATTATAAAATTTGTTTTGTCCAGGCGTGGTGGTTCATGCCTGTAATCCCAGCACTTTGGGAGCCGAAGATGAAGATGTGAGAATTGCTTGAGCCCAGGAGTTCATGGCCAGCCCTGGCAACATAGTGAGGCACCATCAAAATAAACACAAATGCTGGGCATGTTGGCATGTGCCTATAGTCCTAGTTAGGAGGCTGAGATGGGAGGCTCACTGGAGCCTAGGAGTTTGAGGCTGCAGTGAGTCATGGTCATGCCACTGCATTCCAGCCTCGGTGACAGAGCAAGACCCACTCTGAAATAATACTACATAAAACTTTATAAAAATCCATATATAGAGCTGAGTTCCGAACTGGTTATCAGTTTGTTAAACCAAGCAAATTGGTCTTTTGGTACGAAAATGGAGTTCAAACGAAAGTTAAAGTGCACGTATTCCAAGAAGGTGGTGCTCTGGTCAGCCAGGGCAGAATCACGCACGTCCTTGTAAATGAGTGCCGTCAAACGTGTGTGTCCAGATTTGCTGCTGTGTGGTTTTGGCGAAGGCACCATGGAAACCTCTGGGTATCTTCTGAGGAAGCCGGGCACCCAGAGCCATGTGATTCGAGGCGGGGCTGGCCCTGCTCCACTGTGCACATGGATGGTAGGGTCTAATTTATGTTCTCCAGCAGCCAGGCATGGCACCCTGCAGATAGCACTATGTGTGTGTTTTTTAAGGAAAATTATCCTTACTGTCAATCATGTATCAGTATCATCCCTAGTCATGCCAGGGATTCATGTTTGGATAACGAATTCATATTTCTAAAGTATTCATTTCCTTTCATTTAAAGGGCTTTTAATGGAAGAGGTAATACATTAACATGGATCCACAATCACAGCCGAAAGGGTCCTCACTGGGAGTCCCCTCCCGAGGTCCCTGTCTGCCTTGCCTCTTGCTCCTGCAGGCACCGTTTGCATTAGACTCTTGTACAAGCAGATACGAATACTTACTTTTATACCCCCACAACATACAGTTTCACAAAAGGTCATAATCTATACCCTGTTCTGAACCTTGGCTTTTCGGGTTTATCCAATCGGTGGGGACCTCAGTGTGTCCACCCAAGACACCATCCTCACTCCCTTCCGGGCTGCCTGGATCTCCCCAACGCAGCTGCCTGGATCTCCCCCCACACAGCTGCCTGGATCTCCCCCCACGCAGCTGCCTGGATCTCCCCCCACGCAGCTGCTTGGATCTCCCCCCATGAAGCTGCCTGGATCTCCCCCACGCAGCTGCCTGGCTTCTCCTGCTGGCTCCCTGGTGCTCAGTCGTGTAGTTTCTAGTCTTGTGCCATTAAAAGCAATGCCACCATGCGCTGGGAAAAGCTTTGTTCTCCCTTCATCTCTTTTTTTTTGAGATGGAGTCTTACTCTGTCTCCAGGCTGGA